GACTTAGAAGATTTTCACTCAGTAACTGATTGTCAAAAAAGCAAAAGTCAAGGTTTCCTTTGTTTGCAGTACTATGAGCACCCTTCATTATACTGTAGATTATCCTGTGTCCTAATACAGTGAGGAGGCATTGGAAGATAAATTTACTGAATGATCCCCCTGAACTCTAATCATGTAAGCATGATCTGGATACACTCATAATGATGTGGTATTGATGTTGAGAGAAAGCTTACAAATTGGTGACAGTATTCACTCCCAGACATCATTATTAAAATTAGGAAAAAATATACATGAACTTGGTATACATGTATACAAGTGCTGTGTGAATTATGAACATTGTATTGAAGTTTGCTTGCCATCGCTGTTTTATTAAGTAGTTTACTAATCTTAAATGTTAATTAGATTCACTGGCACTTTCACACCCAAGAGTTCTTTCCAGGACCATTTGTACCACACAATCAACAAAACACTGTGGGTCTAGAAGATATGCAAACTGTATTAAGCAAAGAGGGGGTACCGTAGATACCTTTATTTAGTGATGAAGCCTTGCATATTTACCTTGACGTGGTATTGTGATATTTCATTGTGTAATATCCTTTTCATGACAGGTAGCATATTATGGAAAGGCCAGTAGAGTTCTTGATTTCTTTGAAAGTGTTGGTTTGGTTTGTGATGCTCATTTTAATCCAGCTGATTTTATATGTAAGTAATACTTTACATGCTTATTAATTTTGGTTGATATCAACTAAAGTGTAGACATACTTGTACACCATACTGTAAATGTATGATTGACACAATATGGCTGGCTCCACAAGCAGGTACTTTGAACGTTGCAGGATATGAAGCAAATCCTACATTTTGTTTGGCTGCCTGAGCAGATAAGTTCAGCTCTTTAAGGGCTACCTCCTTTTCATTTGCAAAATCTTAGATTAGCTTTAGCTAGTTGTTTAGTCAAGATGACTTCATGGTGGCTTTTCATGCATGAAACACACAGATAAGATGGCAGCCATTGACTGCACAGTCATCTTATACCTATGCTTGGTCAACCCATACTTTGTCAACTGCATGGCTGTGCTATCAATAAATTACGTATCTATGCCATACAATTCCTGAGCTGCAATCTGTGTTATTTGTTCAGTGGAAAAGGTTACTGAAGGAGAGGAAGTTCAAGAAAGGATTGTCCAAGGCTGGGCTGAAAGGTTGGTGAAATTATGTAATTGCAGAAAAGTAGACAACAGCTGTAACATTTTTTTCCCATTGTTTTCATCATTGTGTAGTTAAAATATTTACATATGTGGTGATGGAAAGAGTCACCTGGTGCTTACATCTTGAGAGAAAAACACATTTTATCTCTTATTTTAGACAGAAAAGACGTCAGAAATATTCAGCAATTTCCTACAACCATAGACCAGGAAGAACTGATACCCCAAGTCCTACTCCAGAGAAGGATGACAAGGACAAATCACAGGATATGGCGAGTGCAACGAGCCCTAAAAATGGGCAGCAAAAAGCTACTGAAGAGTTACAGAACAAGGATGATGTGTCTGTTCATTGTACTTCAGATGTACATGAGGTAGATGAGAACTCTGAAGTCCCTGAAAAAGAAAATAAAACAAGTCCTGCATCTGACAGAAGTGGTGAGTCCACTGGTGAGCTGTCAGTTAATGACAGTTCAAATGAACAGAAAGATACACTAAGGCAGGAGAATGGAGGTGAATTCTCGTCTGAGGAGATGCTGGACAAAGAAAAAGAAAGTAAGACAGGCAATGGGCTTATACCATTTGGAAATGATGGACTGCCTTCAGAGATGAGTGAGAGTTCAAACCTCTTGGCTTCAAATCCCAAACCATCTGCATCTAAGACCCTTTGGAGGAACGTGAGAGACTCATTCACCAAATCTTCAGATCATCTTCCACAAGTCCCCTCAGAAATCCTGGTACCAGTAGCAGATGTCAATGTGGCTGTTGTATCTTACAAGCGTAGTACATCACGTGATTATTCTAAAATAGATGTTCATGATGACGATGAAGATCATTCTGCCCTGTACTCAGATATTTCCACATCATGGCCCACAAGTTTCTGGACACAGTTCACAGTTCTCCTACTTAGAACGTTTAAGCAGTCCAAACCAGATATTTTGTCTAAGTTAGAGTTATCACAGGTAAGCACTATTTTAGGTATAGTTTGAATAAAGGTCGGACCTGAAATAACAGTACGATATTTGTGTCCATGTGTAACAGCCATTGTAACATTTCGGTGATGTTGGTGTCCATGTGTAACATTTCCAGTGATGAACCAAAACATTTACTCAAACTCAAGAGCTGTAGAAAATAGATGTACTGTATGGTACACTTGTCAGATGTGGCTGTTGTAAGCATGCTTTGATAGGTAGTAAGGGTATGTGAATGGTGTTTACTTTCCATTTGCCTTACTCATTATGATTGTGTCACCACAGCGACCTAACACAGGACACTCGCTAACTCTCGCTGGTTTTTTATTTCGTTTTATTTAGTCATAAAAACCTTGTCTGATCATTCCTTTGTCACCTTAACGTTCATTTCCAGTTACCTTTATATTGTTAATTGATTGAAAAGATTGAGATTATGAAGTTTCCTAAGTTAGTAATTACCGCTCTGTGGAAAAAAATTGGTCTTCTTACAATCGGTACTTGTGTATCATTTGTTCCAGAACTTGCTTCTTGCCCTCGTTTCGGGCTTGATCTGGTTCCAGCTTCCTTACAAAGAGAAGAGCATTGAAGACAGATATTCACTGGTAGGTTATGTTACGCTTGTCACTGTTAGTTACGAATAAAGACCACTGTTCACGATGAATCACCCTAATCCCTCGAAATTAACCATTTTGGATAAATTGGTTGAGTATGGCCTGGGTGGTGTGGGAGGGGGAACAGAGATATTAGACCTTAACCATTCTTTAGGCCTAATTTAGTCCATCTTTCTCAAATCGCGTTGTCGGAGAGTTTTACCCATAGTCCTAGTTCATTCACTGTACCACTAAAGTTAAGAAAGAAAACGAATTTTTTCATACGTATGACACATTAACATATACTTTTTCTCATTTGGAACTAATTATTAATTTTAGTTTTAAAAAAGATACGGCTTCTTATTTCGGCCAGGTTCACGGTAAGAGGAAGTGGGTTGTGTTGTTTCTTTGGTGGAGAGTAGACGATAAGTCATGTCACACACCTGATGTGAAGTAAAGAAAATTTGTGCAGAGCACGAGGCCTTTACCTTTAGCGACTTCCTAACTGACTTGATTCAATGTTTTTGTCATCAATTGTTTGGCTACATTGCGCCCTATTACTTTTTTTGCAATGAACGAAAATTGCCATGTTTGTTTTTTACTTTACAGCTGTTTTTCGTTGTGGTTTATTGGATGTTTAATCCACTCTTCCAAGCTCTGTTATCATGTGAGTTGAGATTGCATGTTTATTTAATAAACATTAAAATGTTTTTTCCCAAGTTGTTTTTTTTCCAAGTGTTTTTTTGTTCTTTGGTACACCAAACTTTGACATTAGACATAAGACATAGGAATGCACACCCAAGAATTGCTACGTGTACCAAAAGAGTTCCTCAGTATCTCAGTATTGTTAGCTTAAGAGAGGGTCGTGAATGCAAACAAGATCTTACAAGGAAGGGTTTAAGGCAGTTAGATTTATTTGTTGTGTTTTTTCAAGATCTGTAATTTCTAGTACAGTTTGAACAATACAACTATGAAAACAGCCAATGGTACACAAATGAAAATTATTGGCATACAGAGTGTAAGAGAGTCAAAATAGTGGGCTCGATTGTTTATATCAGGAGATCGAGATTTGCCCAAGCAGCCGTGCAATGAAAATTTGCAATAGGAAAAACGGGGGATTTAAACTTACGGCTTGTAAGTTGTTTCTTGTTTTCTCTGCTCATTTATAGTGTGAAGCGACTACAGCTGAATACAAAATCTTGACTCTTGCAAATAACCTTTTTGAATTACATGTACCCTGAGTGACATCTAAGTAGAACATGTAATACATTAGTCCATGTAACGTTATTGTCTTATTTTTACAAATAACACTCAAGAAGTGTTCAACTCTAGATCTAATTATCTTTCTGTTGGTTATGTAGTTCCAAGTGAAAGGACTGTAGTAAATAAAGAACGTGCTGCTGGCTACTACAGACTCTCTGCATACTATTTAGCCAAGTTGTTCAGTGAATTACCGCTCGTCTTATGTCAGCCGACTCTGTTCTATACGGCAGTCTATTGGATGACGGGTTTAAACAGAAGCGAGTCCTTCCTCGGTGGCCTTTTCGTGCTTTTGTTAACAGCCATAACAGGACAGGTATAACCAAGTTTAATATATACAGATGTTTGGCATATGATTTCAAAGTCTTCTGATAAACATCTTTTGGGAGAAGAAAAATGCTAAACTGGGCGGACAATCTCGTCTTTGGTGGACTGACGCTCTGCACCACCGAGAAAAATGTTTGGTGGGAAAACTTTGAAATTAACTGAAAAGCCATGAAAGACACTTTGCTTCCTTGTTTATTGCCTGTGCTTGGCAGGAAGTTTGCAGTACGGCTCCAAATATGTCCTACCAAGGTTTTCTTGCTCTGTATGCAGGCAGACCGAAAACGTGGGCTTTTTACTTAATCAATTAACCTCTCGGTTTCTTTTTTTTTTTTGCGTTTTGTTTTGTTTTGTTTTTTTCAAATATAATAGCAGAACATTTTTTGCATGACTTGAAGGAAAGAGTTTGGTTTTACGTAGGGAAAAAAAAAAAAAAAACTCTCGGCACACAAACTACGATTCTTCATCTCCTCTAAAGTACACACACACACAAAAAAACAAAACAAAACAAAAACAGGAATTCCAGAGAAGTGTTTACCGGTTTATTTCTTTATTAGCAGATTGTTTGATAGAGTATAAGGTGTTTTCACGCTTGTAAAAAAGCCTTATCTTTCGTTGTCCAGTCCATAGGTTTGTGTATCGGCGCCACAGTAATGAACTTCAAGAAGTCAATAGTGGTGTGTGCTGTATATGGTCTGACCTGTATGTTGTTGGGCGGATTCTACCAGAAAAACATACCCTCATGGCTATCTTGGTTTCAGTACACTGCTTTCGTGAAGTATTCTTATGAGGCTTCCCTTATCATTGAATTTGCTAATTCTCCATCATTCAGGTGAGCTTAATTCTGAGGTATGCAATATCCGGGACATTCAATTCAACATTAATCTTATGCTGTATGTTCCTTGACATGTTGTTTGGAATTCTCTTTCACTGTTTCCTTTAGATATGAAACTGGTAGCACGTCAGTCATTACCTTCATGAAAGTTACCAAAGCATTGTAGTAGCAACAGTTCATAACTTCACCAAAAAAAAATAATAAATAAAAAAATAACAGGAAAGCCAAAAGGGATATGCATAGTACGGCAAATAAAGATTATTGTCTTCCTACAGTTTCAGCACAATATTGTTGTTGGTAGAATTCTCTTTACTACAAAAGTTAATGTCAAAACAGAATATAATGTAAAAAAGATCACTCAAAATGCATCACTTTTGTTCCTCCAGTTGCTCGGCGACTGAGTCTTCTTACGGTAAATGCCACAACAATGGAACCGTCATCGAAGGAACGGACATTTTAGAGAGGCTGAATGTGACAAGATCTGTGGGAGAAAACATTGCTGTACTTCTCTGTTTTATTTTTATATTCAGAATTTTGACATATCTTTCTTTACGCTACTTACACAAGCCAAAGTGATTTCGGTATTCAGAGACACTGCACGAGCGATCTGTTATTTCCTTGTGTTACGTTAAGATGTCAACTTGTAGCCATTTGACAACTGACATATGTTTAGCGGTGACCACTTTTCAACCTGTCAGAATGGTATTGGGTTGATCAAGCAACGTGAGAATTAAATAAAGTAGATATAACACGGGAGAAGAAATTTTATTGCTTAGAGCTGAAGGCGTTGAGTTTGATTATGCATCATAAAATAATATAACAAGAAACGAAGTTCATCGTCAAGTGCTGACGCCCCCCTTGCTCCAATCACAGGAGCGGCCATTTACATGTATTGTGATGATTACTGTTACTATTTAAATATTTAACTGCAAGTTATTATTTAGAGAGACGTCATATCTTGTGAGCAAGAGGAATTACGATATTCCTTACTGCCATAGTAAGATGTGTTATCTTAGGCCAGAGGGGGATATGACGTCAGCAGGTGCGGTAGATATTTCTAAATGTTAAATAGAGGTAGATAACGCGTTGTGTCTTGAATGGTTTTGTTCGTAGATGACTATTGGAGAACGATGAACAGTCTTTTTATGATTATAGCAGCTCTTACACAATTAAAATTCAGTTTTCAATTCTTA